TTGTCTGCTCGTTTACAACTTTCCATCAAGATCTGTAGACACGCAGGGAAACTCGTAATGTGTTATCAGAGCTTAAGGCTGGTTGACCTCACGAGGTCAATTGCTGCCTTTAGCCTGTATCTCCATTTCGAAGGAAATGTTGGTTCCACCGGAAACTGAAGGAGGACTGCCGCGTAGGGAAGACTGTTGAATTGTACAAATAACTCCTCGGCTCACCGTCCTGAGACCCCTATGAAACCGTGTGGAGTTAGGTGTATAAAAAAGCGACTAAGGTTGTAGCATGACACCTATTCTCTTGGTTTAGCATATTTTTGCTCTATTTCATGAAGTATGGATGTCTGCTCTGGTGATGTCTGTCTCGGTGGTACATATGAAGCTTTTCACAGGTTGATTAAGGTCGCAGGACGGTGAGGCGAGTACTTCTTCGCACAATTTAACAGTCCTCCCTACACGGCAATTCTCATTCGGTTTCCGGTAAAATCACATCACGAATTCCTTTCAACCAACTTTCCCTTCAAAGTGTAGAGTCATGCCACAATATTTCATTAAAAGATTCTTTAAAACCCAATTGTTCCTCATGATTGATGCCTGTGACGATTACGGGACAGACCGGGAAGCGAAGAAATTTTCTCTTATCGGCTGGATCATATTGGACTCCAGTGGCAGTGTGAAGCCACTCGTCCTCGTGCTCACTAAAGCTTCATCTGGTCACTTGATCTGCCCAAGCATGGAAAGCCACCAACCCAATGCCCCATCTACACTCTCGTCTCCAGGCTCCCTTTTCATCCAACCAACCGGGTTTCACATCCACTCGGTCGAAGGCTCCGTCTCGGGAGCCACTTTTAGGTTAACGTGACCCAAATTGGCCGCAGGAACAGGACATCACAGGCCGGCCAAACTGGCCCAGGCTCGAGGGCGGAGGAGGGTTAGACAGGTGAAGACTCGAGCCCTGACCACCGACTAGCTGTGCGGCCTCTCGCCTACCAACCAGACTTGGAGATATAGAGCAGACGGAGGCGATTCTAGCACCGGCTCAGGTCAGGGCCGTCTCGGCCGGAGTTCGAGACGTAGGATTGATGCGACCACAAGAGTTGGAGCCTTACCTTGATTCGCCAGACCATGACGCAGGGCTGCGTGATCGTAGATACCACAGTCCAAGCCGGTTCCTTCTTCGAGGCTTCATCTGTCGATGGAAGATAACCGGAAAATGTGTGCGAAAAACAAAGTGAAAGTTATATGAGATGTATTCACCATATTTCGTTTAAGGTGATGAAGGACTGGTAGTAGAATTTTCCCACAACGGTATGAGTAGAGCTGACGTTTACATTGAATTTTCACATAGCCTTGCTTTCCCAAAAGTTGTTCTCATCCAGGCCCCAGTGGACTGCAGTTTGCTCCTCGCAAAGGTCTTATCAACACCATGACAGTGCAGAATGGGAGCTTGAC